TTTGCAGATAAATCCCTTTCTGTTCACATTCCTGTATCATCAGGAACTTTTTAGCTGTGACAATTGTTAAAGTTAAGAACAGAAATAATGAGCTTAATGGCAGACTGAATCACAAGGATTTAAATATATAACTAAATATAATAAATATATAGTGTTTGCATAAGTTTTAATAATGCTAATGAACTTTGAAAGTAAAAATAGTGAATGTCTATTTTTGGGGGGCTAGTAAAGGAGCTTGCCACCAAGTCTTACTATCTGAGGGTCTCAGATGGTGAAAGAGACAACAGATCCTGTAGTTGTCATCTACCTCCATATGCACTATGACAAGCCCATGCACGCACATGTACACTATTATGCATGACTTTATTTTCTGAGGTTTTAGCCATTCACAGTGAATTCATTCTGAAAACACTAAATAAAAATGTTCCTGTGTGTTAGTTTTGTGGCCTTCTGAGTATCACAGAAGGATCTCATGCCATTCCATTTGCACTGCCAAGCTTGCCCATCACCTCCAGCCTAGCGGATTGCTGTTCGTATGCCACCAGCCTGTTTCTTCCATAGTAGCCGTCCCAGGCACCAGATCATCTGGCATCACAGTTCTCCTGCCTAAGGAGCCATTGTGCAGTAGCCAAACACGGTGGCATGTTGCCTGTGTCATTCTCCTCTTGTCATCTTGTCCCAAAGGCTCAAGCCACTCATCATTACAGGGGATGATAAAATAGTACAGTATAATAAGATGTTTTTAAGATGTGGACTACATTCGTGTGAACTTTTGAATAATCTTCCCTTATATTTGTTCTGTAAGTTGTGAATTTCTCATTGTGCCTCATTTATAAATTAAACTTTATGATAGTCATGCTATATCATCAGAAAAACATATCCTATATGTTTTGGAATTATTGTGGTCTCAGGAGCCCTTCCAACAAGGGAACCTATTGTATTTCATATTTTCAACTCTAAAAAGTCATTATTATTCAGATATTTTCTCTAATCCGGTAGCAATCATGATCTCCCACGGCACAACTGGTGACCAGTGCTTTCTTTCATCCTTCGACAGCTCGAGTTAGTACTTGACATCAGGGAATTTTTGTTTTTTTCTCTGTCGATTTTTGCCTTTTTTCCCCCCTCTGTCAATTTTTGCCTAACCACAGAGATTTTTCCCTTTGAACTGGTTTAAGAAGAAAATCTCTGAGGCAATCTTTGCTACTGGATTGTCCAGAAAGCCTGGCTTCTTATAAGCTTTCTCTTGACTCCGGGAAGCCAGTCTCAAACGCAAACTTCACAGACTTTACGGGGTTCCACAAATGTCAAAATGCCTTTCACTCCCTCTTGTCCAGCAGCAAACTGGTGCCAATGATCATTAGAGTTCATGAAGACAGGCTGCCACTTGAGACATGCTTGGGGGCAATGGGGGGGCGCAGAGGAGAAGGGCTGTACCTCTCATGCTTGCACTGTCTGTAGTCCTGTAAGGGTTCAGGGTTCGAAGGAAACTGGCTTGGAGTCCTCATACGCTGAGAATGCATATTTTATAGAGGAATTCATAAAAACTGCTTCTGATGTGGGCTGAACTCTGATGCAGTCTCATGACTAAGGACGCATTTTTCCCTTTAAGCAAAAGTTTAATCATGTCAGTTTTATACAGACAATTAATAGCTCAAGGGAATTTAGAGTAAAAAGTTTTTTAGGCTTTTTTGAGATGGCTTAGATTTGGAACAATTTTAGAAATAAGAAATCATTAATTTGTGTCATAATACATTTTGCGTGGGGATGAAGAGGATGGGAGCCTTAAATGTACAAATCTGGTACAATGTACATGGAATTTCATTATATTAGTCAGTAAATATCAGGCAGTCAAGAGTAGCTACAAAATCACACATATTCTATTTGTATTTCAGCTATGTAAAAGAGTTATTTTATTTATGCTTATAGTGTGCCAGGCATATACTAAGTCTTTGCATAATCCTCTGAATAGTTCTCAAAAAAACTTGTTTTAATCTGTACACATCTGAGGACTCTTCCAATCCTCATTAGTAGCTGTCCTTCTTGAGTTGGAAGGTGTCCCTTGAAGAAAAACCTACAAGAATCTCATGGTTTAATTTAAAATTAAACCTGATATCGCAGTTATTTTTCTCATATTGTACAAAATTGACGAGAGCAATTTATGGAGGGAATAATTGATTTTGACTCGTGGTTTGTGAGGATGCAGGCAGAGGTACACGGCAGCTGGATGATGAGTTGGCTGACAACATTGTATCTGCAGTCATAAAGCAGAGAAATGCATCCTGATGCTCAACTCACTTGTTTTCTCCTTTGTATCCAGATTGGGACCCCCACCCTTAGAGGCATGTTTCTGCGGTGATTCTAAATGAAGGTTAAATTGACAAGGTTAACCATTATACCTGGCTTCATAGCCATGCTGCAAGCCTTTATACTCATGTTTGTCATCTTTTCCTGCTCCAATTATAGGCAAATATTTTTCAATGACTATAGGTTGCTGTGGAACAATCTTTTCGTACACTATAAATACATATTACTCTCTTTGACTAATAAAGAGGTGACTGGCCTATAGTTGGGCAGGAGGAGGATAGTTGGGAAAACCAGATTAATAAGATGCTTGGAAGAAGAAGGGTGGAGTCATGGGAGTGAGAGGAGTTGCCAGCCGAATGCATGAGGAGCAGGAGATGAATGTGCCATGCTATTAAAGGTACTGCCATGTGGCAAAGGGTAAATAAGGAGTATGGGTTAATTAAAAATGTAAGAGCTAGATAGTAATAAGCCTGAGCTATTGGCCAAACATTTGTGATTAATATTAAGCCACTGAGTGGCTATTTGAAAGCTGTTGGCACGGGAAAACTCTGCCTACAATAGATTGAGTTAAATTATGACCTGTTCAGTGGTAATAAGAGATGAATGTGATAAACTGATCAGTGCTTCCTACTAGATCTCTTTCTCCACCTAGCAAGTCTTGATGTCCTGCTTTGATCAAATTACAGAGTAACACTGTCTGACAAGCTCTACAGGGGTAGCATCCCCTGGTATTGGACAGTGATAGGAAGATGAAGGGAAGTTATGGGATTGCTGTGTAAATGAGACATCCAGTACAAGCTGGAACTCTTATCTTAGAGGGACACTGAAAATAGAGTCCACTGGATGTTGGAGAGCTAGGAAGGATGAAGATGAGATACTGCTCTCTTGAATAAGGGAAAGAAGGAAGTTCACACATATTCTGGTAGGGTGACTGGAGAAAACAGGAAAATCATTCCTATGCAATAAAACCATGCCAAGTTCTTTATGGAATTCCTGGGTTAGTCCTATGGTGTTCTGTGTTCCCACAGCTCACAGTTAATATAAGCCTTTTTTTTTAACATTGCATTCCTTGGGCAGTAGAACTCAGGTAGCTTGTGAAAGTGCAGAAGTGTCAGATTTGTGGGTTTCCCTTATTAGCTAATGATTCAATAATGGATTAAGTATCAACTTATTTATGAAGCCCCTAATATGAACATAATGGCCTATGTGATGTAAAGTACCACTCTTGGTGACAGACACCATTTCATGTCCCTTTACTTTTTCCTATGGAAATAAGACTTGCATAGCATCATCAGTCACCACACTTCTGCTTTCCCACACTCTTCTTTTGGATCATCATCATTGTCTATGGGTGAATATAGCAAAACATGTCAGAATTCCAGCCTCGAGGCCCTAGTCATGGGAAATCTAGGTTTACTGCTGCCTTTCCACTTTGGATCTTCTGCAGTCACTGGTTTTCTCCTGTTGGCTCTGTCCTCTCTGCTGTTTTCTGTTGAGTAGCACAGACTTTGAAGGAAAGCATAAGAGAGGGTAAAGCAGCCTGTTCTCTGATGAGGAAGAATGCTTTGTTCAGTACTCAAAGCTACCATGACTCATCCACTCAAGCCTGCTCAGCCATGGTTCCAGAGGGCAATGGTTCTCAGCCTGTGGATCACAACCCCTTTGGAGGGCAAATGACCATTTAAGGGGAGTCACCTAAGACCATTGTAAAACACAGATATTTACATTATGATTTATAGCAGTAGCAACATAGTTAGGAAGTAGCAACAAAAATAATTTTATGGTTGGGAATCACCACAACATGAGGAACTGTATTAAAGTTCATAGCATTAGGAAAGTTGAGAACCACTGTTATAGGGCAATTGCCAAACCAGAATATATCCAGGTATTTTCCATTTTTCTGTATCATTCCCTCTTGTAAAGAAAAAGTTTGTTTTCTCCAGTAGGGTCTCATGGGTCATATTAACCACACTTCAGGGGAGGCCCCATGCCCAATAGTAGATGGCCAATATAGACAACTCTCAAGTGTATTTTTGTGTCTCACACAGTCTTTTTTGGGTATTTTTGTCTCATTAGCTTCTTGATTATATAATGTGGTTTCAGAATTTGTGTTTCTGTATATATCTGTATGAGTTTCTTCCTTCCTTTCTTTTTGTTTTCTTACCATTTTTTTAAAAGACAGAGATCAAAAAGAGCACAGAGTTGTAGAGTAGGAGAGTTGGGGAGGATCTGGGAAGAGATAAGGGAGGGGAAACATAAGAATATGTTGTATGAAAAACTTTTAATTAAAATTTAATGAACAAATAAATAAAGAAGTGAGTCTTCTTAACTTGGCTATATTTCAACAAGACCCACCTACACATGGTTAGGAGAAAGGATTTTTATTTTCTTGGGTATAAAAGACATGAAAGTCTAAAATAATGAGCGTCTTTCCACTTTTCCTTTCTTAGGGCATGGGGTAGAATGTCTTATATTCCTCCTTGATATGTTATCTACTTCACACCTAGGAGAAATTCTAATATAGGATAAAAATTTCAACACCCAAGGACTTACCAGCTCCAGGCTGGTCTGCTACATTAAAGATGCATAGAATGAGACTTGGGGTTTATTAATTGTTCTGTAACAAAGCAAAGAGTGCCCTTTTATATTATAATCTAAATATAAAATCCCATGTTTTATTATTTACTTTTCAGCTTTTAAATGTCCAGAAAGGTTGTCTAGAGGAAGCACTGCCAAGGACCTCATTAGGTGACACCGGAGGAAGCCAAACCCACTGTTCTCCATTGAAAGCAGGCAGCCTTTCGCAACTCTTTGATATCCTGTCACTGTGGTGATTTGGCAGTAATCTTGGCAGGATGAATGGAGTGGAGGTGGAAAAAAAATCTCCTTTGTGTGGTGACACTTGGCTGGAATTGCTCCACAGAATTTTATGCCTGGAACTAAATGAAATTGTCCACCATTATGCTAATAGGCATGGCCACTCAGTAAAGCATTTCTGGAGAACCTTGGGCTGATCTCACTTTTGCCCTGTGTCCAGAAGTCTTCCAGGAATAACAGGTAATGATTGCTCTGGAATGATCTGAGGCCCTTCTCTGCCTACTGGTCTCAGTTGGGAGTGTCAAATAACGGTGATGCTCATTAGTCACGATCTGAATATTCTCCTTTCAGGGACATTGCCTGTAGATGGGTAAGTTCATTTCCTCTCTGCTTCCTTTGAGTCTAGCATTACAAAGGGTGTGGTGTTCCCTGTCAAGTTCCAACACCTGCTTTGCAACAACACTCCCCATGCTATTGTCTGCTGTGATTCAAGCCTCAATGTTAACACTAATTTACTGAATAAAACTATTTCATCTCCACATTGTCAACTGAAACTCACTGAAACATGTATGTCATATAGACTACCTCAACCCAAAGTTCTTAGTCTGAAGTTGACCTTTAAAACAAGCAAGCAAGCAAACAGCATGCAGTTCTAGATCCATGCCTCAGCCTCAGAAAATTAGGACTGAAAATCTGCCAGTGCTCATGGATTGTTGTTTTTGAAGAGGCCTGGGGTTTGGTACCCAGCACTCACATGACAGACCACAGCCTTATTTAACTCTGGTTCCGGAGGATTTGATACCCTCTTTCGACCTCCACAGGGCACTGTATGCAGGTGATGTGCATACATACATGTGTTGGGACATGTCCTTCTGTAGGCTGTGAATATATGTTTTTCTTACTGGTTGATGAATAAAGCTGTTTTGGCCAATGGGCAGGCAGAATTTAGCTAGGCAGGAATTCCAAACAAAGAGTCAGGGAAAGAAAGATGAAAAAGAGACGCCATGAGGAGCTGGAGAGTCAAGAGACCCAGGCATCACTGCTAAGCAAAGACAACATGAAGATATACAGGTTAACAGAATGGGTTATAATCAAGAGAGAGCTAGCCAGTAAGAAGTCTACACCATTAACAAAACAATTGTAATTGATATTAAGTCTCAGAGTGGTTATTACATTATGTGGCTGCGGGACCCAATGGATGGAGAGAAAACTGGTTCAGTGGGACTGAGATAGATGGAGAAAATCTCTTTTTACATATGTGCAAGTAAAACACTCAACCACATAAAATAAAAATAAATAAATGAAAGAAAACTGTGTCTTCATAGTGTTCCATGTACTTTTTTTTTTGTGATGATGTTCTGACTTTTACCTGGTTATCAGGCATTAATTGTTTATACAAACAAAACAAAATAGAACACCTTCATACACACACACACACACACACACACACACACACACACTCCTGTTGGTTTTTTCCTTAACATACTTTTAAAGTAAGCTATGTTTTCATGGTGGGGGGCTGGTGTCTGAGAGATAACTTAATGAGCACTCACACACTGTTCTTCCAGACGATGTGAGTGCAGTTTCCAGTATTCTCTGCCTGCGGCTTTCAACCTGCCATGACTACAGCACCAGGGAAACTGATGGATCCTTCTGGCTTCTGTGGGTATTCCCACACATGTGGCAGACTCTTAAACACACACACACACATACACAAACACACACACACACATGCCACATACATACGTGCACCTGTACACATACACATGAATAAGCAAAATAATAAACCATAGAAACAAAACAACAACAACAACAACAATGAAACCCTTTGTGTTAGAAGGAACCTAATGCGAAAAACAGGATGGGTGTGAGTCGACACATACGATACATGCTCTGCCCTAAAGGAATTCATTTACAACACATTTAAGGTTCATTGATGTTTCTGGATTCCACAGAGCACAGGTGCTAGTGCGTGCTGAGTACACATGGCTGGAGCTGAACAGGAAGCAGTTCAATCTCAGGTGGGAGGGGGAAGCAGGAGGCGGGGGGGAGCAGGAAAGCACATAAGCAACCTAGGAGCTTGGTTAGATCATGACAGGTGGCTGTTGATTAGGACAGGCGTATAACTCACCTGGGTGCCATAGTGGAAATGTCATGCCTTATTTTAGAAGGAAATTAGATTCAGGCTGGCAGACATACTTTCAGGACAAAATGATATTCTAGTAACATATTTCAATTGTGCCCCTTACTAACCAGAGCAATTTTTCCGGTTTTCTTTTGACAAAGATTAAGATAAAAATAAAATGATACCAAAACAAAGAAGGTTAGTGAAAAATTGTATAAACCATGGGACATGTGTCCTCCCATAAATTTTGTAAAATGCTATTTAAGAAAATAAGTTAAAATTTTAATTAGGGATAGACAAACCTATAAATCCCCGATGGTGGCAGTGAGGACTCAGTAAAGTCACAGAGAGATGTATCTGGATCTTAGTGATAGTTGCATAACTGCATAAGCTAATGAAGATCATGGACTGAACACTCACAATGTGTGAGCTTTATAATATAAGCTTTACCTCACAAAGTTCATTTTGAAAATTAGTCAGCTACAGCTTCATGCCATTGAATTTATAAATAAGTGCTTAGAAATGGCTCAGAAGCATAGCCAAAAACAATAGATCATCATTGGACTACATTAGGAATAAGAATTTCTTATTTCTTAAAACACGATTGACACAGTGAAACCCATAGAGTGGGAAAATTTATGAAAATCATGTATCCAATAAGGTTTTATTACACACACACACACACACACACACACACTTTGGTAGTGAGCCTAGCCTTTCCATCTTTCCATTTCAATATAAACATATATAAAGAACATCTATGAGTCAATAACAACAGAAAATCCAATTGAAAGTTGAACAAAGGATGTAAATAGGTATTTCTTCAATTATAACTACAGAAATGTTCCAAGTCTAAAAACTGTAGCAGTTTTCATTTGTAAATTGAATTTTCCCTCCCTCTAGTAGGAGTAATATGTAGTGTTCAAAGGGTATTTCCAGTTGACTCAAAGAAAGAGTAATTTCCAACTGAGTGAAGCAGAAGAACGGGAGAAATGACTTCTTTCTTGCTCGACTGTAACTTAAGTTGTTGTGGTCCTTGGTTTCTTCATCTGTGACATTAAAGACTTGTAACTTCAAATTCTTAAAATATGATTAAGCTCCAAAACTCTTTAAAATCACATATATTGAGAAAGTTGCTTTTACAAGGTGGAATTTGATGTACTTTTTAGAGTCATAATTATGAAAGAAAATAGAGTCCTAAGACAAGGCTATTTCCACTTACAAGTGTTGTCCTTTGGCTGTATCTGTATTGTAATTGGCATGACTTTACATTATGATCTATAGTCATATGCTGATAAGTTTTACCTCCTTGTTAATTACTACAGCTTCAATTTGGGGGAATACTGGGGACACTTTACCATAGGGCCATACTACTGGCCCTAAAGTTTAAATTCTTTAAGGAAATGATTCCATTTTCCAAATGCCTCCTCTCTTAGTTCCTTTTCTTCTGTCCTTCCTTGCTCAGTGGTTTTCTCCTTGAAACAAGGCAGTTGGAAACAACTTCGCAGGTGAATGGAAGTCACCAACTCTAAGGACCCACACTTGCCCCCTGACTTCACTTCTTATATAGACTTCTCTCAAGAGCTGTTTTGGTGATTTGCATTTCCTACAGTCGTAAAATATTACACTTCTGCTACTGTGCTTGACTTATAAGTACTTTCTCAACTCTCATAGCAATTTTTTAAATGTCAGTATTAATGTTATTTTCAAGACTGAGAGATGAAGAGGGATTGAGAGATTGACCCAAGGCCACTCATCTCCTAAGGAGGCAATGAGAGTCCATCCCAAAGTCCAATTCCACATGGTAGAGATGTTTAGTTAGAAACAACTAAGAACCGCTTCATCATCAAGTAAACTGATTTATGGTTTGCATAGAACATAACAGCAATAATTTGGAAATAAAACCACATTTCCCATAGCCAGTTTGAATGGACCCTGGCTTTTAGCAACCGTTTTGTGATAGCACACAACAATGAGGTCTAGCCTTGAGTTCATCATCTTGGTGCCCACGTGGAGTCATAAGCAGTTGTAGATGTGATTACTCTGTTCTTAAGCAACAGATAGTTTCAGTGAGAAAAAAGGAAGCTGTCTTTAGTATGAGGATCTAGCAGAAAAGCTGATTGACCTGGTCCCAGTAGGATGATTCTAATAGAAATAACAGCCCTTGGCTTTCAGCTTATTCTGAATGAGCAGCTATTTTCAATGTGCATCCCATAATGACTCCCAATTCTCAGAACACGGAAAAACCTTTCAACAGGCTACATGGCAAACTTAAGTGTGTTGCTTGGGAGACAGAAAAGTGACACAGGCATAGCACACTGTCTTATTTGTGCCTGTGGAGTGTCTCTGCTATATCCTGCACATTCTGAACCCACAGTAACCATGCATTTGAACATTATATGTATCTTGTTCTTTGAAGACCAATTTTCTGTTGCCCTTTGCATCTCATTACAGGTCAGAACAGAAGCTGTGGGACTGATCTAGGAAGCTCCTGTCTACACATATGTTCTCCCCATGTTCAAGTTTATAGTGATTTTAGTAGAATGCTCAATTTACTCTGCCATGAGTGCTGATATTGTGGAATAAGGAAGTATGCTATACAGTATCAGAATCAATCCATTTACTCTTCTCCCATGTAAATGTAGTGGGCTGGGTGAGGGAGAGAAGAATTGTAAAAAATACACATTAGGAGGTTGTTATTGTAGACATACCCTGCTTACCCCTTGCTACAGAGTGACTGCTTGCCCCACACAGGTGAGGGAACTCACCTCTCTCTGAGCTATTTTATTTCTGCCCCTATGACTCAAATCTCTGATTCTAGTATTTATGGAGAACGAACTTTCGCATTATAGAACATTAATTCCTTACTTATCAGTAAATATATGTAAGCTTTTGGTTTAGAGAAAGTTTTTAGTGTTTAAAAATTTCCCTTGTAGACTTCATATTTGATAAGTTCATAAAAATTTTATTTAAAAATCCTTATCATGTACAGTGAGTTTCTTTCTAATGTCATTCCATTTTTTTTCTGAGACATAGTATCACCTGTAGCCCAGGCTGACCTGGAGATCACTATGTAGCCATCCCAGCGTCTGTTTGAACTTTTGGTGATTCCTTTGCCAAATGCTATGGTTCATCATACCATCAATCATTACAGTGAATGATATTGAAATTATTATAGTCTAAACATGCAAAATAATAAATAGCTAGAGGATCCAAGTCAAGAATTTTTCATGTTATTTCCAAGGGAAATTGGACCAATTCCATTTCCAGACCTCTCACTGTGGAGAATGAGGACAGCCAATGTACTAATCAGTTTGCAGCAGCACGTGTGTGTCTGCATGTCCACAGATAAAACTGTAGAGCCCAGATCCTGAGTGGCTGGTTATTTTCATATCTGTGATTTCATTTCTTAGC